GAGGTGTGCAAACTACCCTGGTAGCTGCCACAGTTCCTATATCATGGAGCACTCTCATGTACCTGGTACATTTGAGTGTCCTGGTGCCTTATAAGTCTCATTACCAGGGAACACTACTAATTACTGCTACCCACTACAACCATGGCTGATGTCACCATTGCGCAAAATCCTAACTGATGCAGACTACAGTTTCAGTGCCGCCGTGCTTCAATTGGTGGTGGAGTAGATGATAGGGCTGCTGAAGATGTAGTTCTCTAGCTTGGACTAGGCTGAGGATGCCCTGCAACACAGTCTGGATGGCAGGTGTCACATCACCCTGGCGTGCTATTAAGTTGGAGAGTGTTCAGAAAAGATTTACCAGGATTTTGCTGGGTCTGGAGAGTTTGAGTTATGAGGATAGGCTGGGACTATTTTCATTGGAGCATTGGAGGTTGAGGGGTGACATTATAGAGGTTTATAAAATCATGAGGGCCATAGGTGAATAGCAAAAGGTCTTTTCCCTAGGGTTGGGGAGTTTTAAAACTAGGAGACATATTTTTGAGGAGAGAGGAGAAAGATTTAAAACGGCCTTGAGGGGTAACTTTTTCCACACAGAGGGTGGTTCATACATGGAATGAACTGCCAGAGGAAGCAGACAGATGCAGATATAGTTACATTTAAAAGACATTTGAATAGGTACATGGAATAGGAAAGGTTTAGACGGATATGGGCCAAATGCAGGCAAGTGGGACTAGTTTAGTTTGGGGAAAATTGGTCGTGATGGACTTGTTGGACCAAAAGATCTGTTTGTCTGCCATATGACTATGACTCTATAAGCAAGCAGCTTACTGGTGAATAATAATACTGACGAAACTTCTATCACATTTCTCATGATCAATGTTTGATTCTTCTAAATCATCATATGTTTACTTTCTTCAATCATAAAACTCTCATAATGCAAATAAATTTCCATCATTAACCCAGGAGTTGTTCTCTTATATTTAACGGGTTAAAAATCAGGGCTCCAGAAAGATTGACAAGCTAACTATTAAACTCACAATACACATTGACCAAAATCCCCATGCCATTTGTTCAAAATCCAAACTCTGAGATAACTCTTATATTAGGCAAGAACTTTCAAAAGTTGAGTGGGGGCAGATGTTTGCAGGTAAAGGGATGGCTTGAAAATGGGAAGCCTTCAAAAATTAGATTATCAAGAGTCCAGAGACAGTATGTTCCTTTTAGGGTGAAGGACAAGGCTGGCAGATGTAGGGAATGCTGGATGACCAGAAGAATAAAAAGGAAGCATATGTCAGGTATAGACAGCAGAGATCAAGTGAATCCCTAAAAGAGATATAAAGGCAGTAGGAGTATATTTAAGAGGGAAATCAGGAGGTCAAAATAGGGACATGAGATAACTTTGGTAAATAGGGTTAAGGAGATTCCAGAAAGATTCTGTAAATACATTAAGGACAAAAGAGTAACTAAGGAGAGAAGAGGGCCCCTTAAAGTATCAGCATGGCCGTCTATATGTGGAACCACAGGAGATGGGGGAGAAACCAAACGAGTATTTTGCATCAGTGTTTACTGTGGAGAAGGTTATGGAAGACAGAGATCATAGGGAAATAAATAGTGACATCTTGAAAAATGTCCATTTTACAGAGGAGGTGCCAGATGTCTTAAAACGAGAAAGGTGGATAAATCCCTGGGACCTGCTCAGGTGTACCCTAGAACTCTGACGGAAGCTAGGGCAGTGATCGCTGGACCCCTTGCTGAGATATTTGTATCATCAATAGCCACAGGTGGGGTGCAAGAAGATTGGAGGTTGGCTAACGTCGAGCCACTATTTAAGAAAGGTGGTAAGGAAAAGCCAAGGACATACAGACTGGTGAGCCTGACATCAGTGGTGGGCAAGTTGTTGGAAGGAATCCTGAGGGACCGGATTTACATGTATTTGGAAAGGCAAGGACTGATTAGGGATGGCCAACATGGCTTTGTGCGTGGGAAATCGTGTCTCACTAACTTGATTGAGTGTTTTAAAGAAGTAAGGAAGAGGATTAATGAGGGCAGAGCGGTGGTCGCAATCTATGTGGACTTCAGTAAGGCAGTCAATAAGGTTTTAGAAACAGAGAAAATAGTAGCAGGAGGTGGCCATTCGGCCCTTTGACCCTTCTTCGCCATTCATCACAATCATGGCTGATCGTCCAACTCAATAGCTTAATCCTGCTTTCTCCCCATAACCTCTGATCCTATTCGCCCCAAGTGTTACATCCAGCCATCTCTTGAATACATTCAATGTTTTGGCATCAACTACTTCCTGTGGTAATGAATTCCACTTTTAGAATACTTAGTGTAAAAACAGGCCATTCAGCCCAGTGAGTCCACACTGACCCTCTGAAGTGCATCCCACCCAGACCTATCCCCCTATGTTATCTCTGTAACCCTGCATTTCCCAAGGCTAATCCACCTAACGTACACATTCCTGAACACTAGGAGCAATTTAGAATGTCAATTAATCTAACCTGCACATCTTTGGACTGTGGGAGGAAATCGGAGCACCCAGAAGAAACCAACACAGACACAGGGAGAACATGCAAACGCCACAAAGACAATCACCTGAGGGTGGAATCGAACTCAGGTCCCTGACTGGTAGACTGGTTAGCAAGGTTAGAGTACTGGGACAACTAGCTATTTGGATACAGACCTGGCTCGAAGGTTGAGGACAAAGAGTGATGGTGGAGGGCTGCTTTTCAGACTGGAGGCTTGTGACCAACGGTGTGCTACAAAGATCAACACTGGGTCCACTGCTTTTCGTCATTTATGTAAATGATTCGGATGTGAACATAGGAGATTTGGTTAGTAAATTTGCAGTTTACACCAAAGTTGAAGCTGTAGTGGACAGCGAAGAAGGTAACCTCATAGTACAATGGGATCTTGATCAGATAGGCCGATGGGCCAAGGAGCAGCAGATGGAGTTTAATTTAGATAAATGTGAGGTGCTGCATTTTGGAAAGTCAAATCAGGACTTATACACTTAATGGTAAGGTCCTGGGAGTGTTGCTGAACAAAGAGACCTTTGGAGTGCAGGTTTATTGTTCCTTGAAAGTAGAGTTGGCAGGTAGATAGGATAGTGAAGGTGGCGTTTGGCACGCTTGCCTTTATTGATCAGTGCATTGAGTATAGGAGTTGGGAAGTCATGTTGTGGCTGTACAGGATATTAGTTAGGCCATTTTTGGAATACCACATGCAATTCTGGTCTCCCCGCTCTAAGGAAGATATTGTGAAACTTGGAAACGTTCAGAAGAGATTTACAAGGATGTTGCCAGGGTTGGAGGGTTAGAGTTATAGGGAGAGGCTGAATTGACTGGGGCTATTTTCCCTGGAGTGTTGGAGGCTGAGGGGTGACCTTAGAGGTTTATAAAATCATGAGGGGCATGGATAGGGTAAATAGTCAAGTTCTTTTCCCTGAGAAAGGAGAGTCCAAAGCTACAGGGCATAGGTTTAAGGTGAGGGGTAATATTTAAAAGGGACCCAAGGGGCAATGTTTTCATGCAGAGGGTGGTGTGTTTATGGAATGAGCTGCCAGACGAAGTGGTGGAGGCTTTTAAAAGGCACCTGGATGGGAAGGCTTTAGAGGGATATAGGCCAAATGCTGGTAAATGGGACTAGATTTATTTAGGATATCTGGTCAGCATGGACGAGTTGGACAGAAGGCTATGTTTCCATGCTGTATATCTCTATGACTCTAAACAACACTTATATATATGTGTGTGTGTATATATTATATATAAAACATATATTAAAATATATATCACACACCCAACATCACAGTATTTCTTTTTTTCCTTTTTTTAAAAATATGGCCTTAATTTATGTAACTTCACTGTAAGGCAGTGTAAGTCACTGTAAGCTGGCAATAATTTCCCTCATCATGTTTACTCTATAATCATTGACTATCACTTTGCTAAAGGTTGATTTGGCTTGAGCACATTGTTTTACAGTGGATTAGAAAAAATAGCCAAGGCATAATGTTAATCTGATTAGTAAACACAGAAAGGCTCTGTTTAAATAATTAATAATGATGATGATGTTAAGACTTAAGATTTCAAAAATACTTGAAACAGAAATACACAATGTAAAATTACTCCAACAGAAGCATTTATATGAACACTCAACAGGCCACCATCTGTAATAGAGTAAGAGACAGAAAGATGTGCATTCATATAGAAATTACTACACAAAACATATTCCCCTTCCAGTGACATAATCAGCAAAACCATACTGAGGGATGGATCACGATGAGTAGGAATTATTTATTGAAGAAGTCTGTAGGGGCCTGGTCATTAAATATATTCAAGGCTGAGTAAACAGATTTTTAAATCACTAAGGAAATCAATGTTATGGATAACTGGCAGGAAAACTGAGTCAGTCATGATTTCAATGAATGGCAGAGCAGAATTGATGGGCTGCTCTTGTGTCTATGGTCCAAAGAATTATACATGTACCATGATGTACAGCACAAAAACAGCTGGGAGTTATATTACTGATGAAAATCTGAAGAAGTGTTCAAAAATAGAAAATATACCCAAACATTAACAGATTTTGGAAAGGTGAATATCTATTCATTCAGTCACGCCTGTAATTTGCAAATTTTTGATCCAGACTAAACAGGTGCTTCTCAGAATCCTAGTCCATGAAAAGGAAACACTTGCAATTATAACTTGAAATATCCTTGAAATATTTCAACTGTTTGCAGACAGCTTAAATGCACCTACATAATAGAAATGTTGTATTCTTAAGAAGTTTAGTAAACAGCTCTAAATGTTGCTTTGAAGTCTACAGCACAGTGACCTTAATCCAGCAGTAAATTGTGCTGTCTGTTATGCAAAATAATGGGACTGAAATCTGATTGTCACTTCAGAGATCTAGCTGATGAATTTGCAGTGAGAGTTTCTGTCATTAATTACACCGCTTATGCTCCCCCGCTCTGCAACTAATGAAATCTGATGTCCTGCACATACCTGTTTGAAAATGATTACTTAACATTTCCACAGATGATCGCAAATCTCTTTTCACAATTAGGCCAAACACAGCAATCCAGTGTTTCTTCATACATAGTAATAAGTCTTCCAAAGACCAAGGAGGCTTCACAAATAGTATCTGATGTCACAATCAGAAAAAGATCACAGCAATTACATCATTATTCATTTAACTTACTGTTATTTAACCAGTCTCTGCACTTTGGTAACAAGTCATAAAATTTTAAAAAGAAGTAGTGTGGTTAATTTACCTCATTTAAAACACAAGCATATTTTAATATATTACAAACTTTATAGTCCTCAATAAAAGACACTTATTAGGAATACATCAGATCAAAAACATGGATACCTGGAATGCTGCAGGCACAATTCTTTAGCAGAATTCTGGGCTTAAAATAAAAAAAGTACTGAAATGCCTGTAATTTCCACTAGTCTCATGAGAGCTCTGGTGGGATCCCTGGTGAAATTCAATTTTCACAATTTATCCAAATAGTTGATAATTAAAATTCTCTTACTATATACTTGGAAAGGCATGATGTGGAAGTGCCGGTGTTGGGCAGGGGTGGACAAGGTCAGATATCACATGACACCAGGTTCCAGTCCAACAGGTTTATTTGAAAACACAAGCATTTGGAGACTCGCTCCTTCTTAAGGTGTTAGTGAGAGATGTAGTTATCAGACACAGATTTATAAGTAAAAGATCAAAGGGTCACATACTGATGAGGATGTATTAAACAAACCTAAGATGCTGTTAAATCTGTCATCAGTTAGAAGGTTTTAATTGATTAATATGTCTATGTAAATCTCCGAATTCCGTTCAAGTCACAGTCCTGAGAGAACGAAAGGTTTTATCAGTGTAAAGAATTGACATTTTAGGTCAGACAATGCATGTCAGTGTGAGGTCTTGTTTAGAATCTGTTTGTGTTTTGGCTTGGAGTGAGACTGATTTTATTTCTAAAGTAGGAATTCATAAAATGTCACATTGACTGACCGTCTATAAATTGTGTGCTTTTTGAATGAAAGAGAGTGTATCTGCAAATACAAATTCACTCAAAAGATTCACATTTGTGTGCGCGTGGGAGGGAGAGAGAGTGTGTGCACATGTGCGCACGTGGGAGAAAGAGAGAGAGAGTGTGTGCACGCGTGTGTGGGGGGGAGAGAGACAGAGAGAGAGACAGTGTGCATGCCTATGGGAGAGGGAATGTGCACGCACGTGGGGGAGGGAGAGGGCGTGTGCGCCGCATGTGTGGAAGAGAGAATATATATGTGTGGGGAAGGGAGACCGATGTATTTCAAAAAGATAGAAAATATTGTATAAATTATCAGTAGATTAAATATATATTCTATTTCTACTGTGTCAAAACAAACGAAATTAATTATTCAGCATAAATAGTCATTTGGTCATACATGAATAAAACATTAGTGAAAAATAAAAGATATGCTGTCAAAACTTTTTCACTTTGAATTCATCAGGACAGAAGTGCAATAATCCCAGCAGGAATCAATAATGCATACTGCATGTGACAAGGGTGCTCACTGGTTGGCAAGTTGACTGCAATTGGTTGTGACATGGCCATGGAGAATGCAACTGGGAACGTTTTTGTCCACAGCATCTTTGTTTATTTCATGGAAGGCACAATGACTGAACATTTTTCTTTCTCCTATAGAATACAGGTCCCTGTGTATGAATACTTGTAGCTTCTAGAAAGTGGGCTACATTACAGAACCAACTATTGGTCTTTATCTTAAATTGGTTGGTCATGTAATTCTGAGAGCATTCAGGATTGTCAGCAAGTGCTGTCCAATTGCAGAATCACATCTGATGTTGGAATCATGGAATTCCTACAGTGCAGAAAGAGGCCATTTGGCCTATCGAGTCTGTACTGACCCTCTGAAGAGCATCCCACCCAGATCCAGCAACCCCCAACCTCACCCCTAAGTTTGCGTTATGCTGACTAACCATCTTAACCTGTACATTCCCTGGACACTATTGAACAGTTTAGTGCAACCAATCCTCCTAAACTGTACATCTTTGGACTGAGAGAGGAAATTGAAGCCCACACACAGGGACAAAGTGCAAACTCCACAAAGAAAGTGTCCACTTCAAAATAAAACCTGTCCACTTCACTTCTAGACAGAAGTAACAACAACATTTTTCTTTGGCCAATGAACCTGCTCCCTCATGCTGAGGCTGCTGCACTGCTAACCACTTAGCCACCATGTTGCCCCAGATGTTGCCAGATGTTTTATGTTCCAATTTTGCAAGCATGGATTGGTTGAGTAAAAAGGTAATGTCACCCATAGTCCTAAAGGATCCCAGGGTTGTGGTATTATTAGAATTACCTACCAGGTATCACTTAATTCATAAAACATATTCATTTGAGTGGTAGGCATAAATGATTAGTTCTTCCTGTTGTTAAAAGTTTTAAGGTATCTTATCTTTCCAGGGTAATTCGAGGTAGACTAGGCATTTTTCAAATCAAAAAGTGGAAATCTTAGGAATTCTGCCTATCACAGAAATTAGAAATACGGTGTGTGTATATGAATATCAATGTGGGTCAATGCCAAGTATGGAGGTACAATGACTGATTGGTTGTAGAAACATAGAAAATAGAAGCCTGCTCCACCATTCTTTAAGATAATGGCTGATATTCTATCTCAATATCATATTCCCATTCAGTCCCTATACCTCTTCACACCTTTAGTGTACAGAAATCTGTTGCATTCTTTAAGGTATTCGAGACTTGGCCTCCACAATCTTATGAACTCTACAGAATGACTAACCTCTGAGTGAAGAAATTTCCCCTCACCTCAGTCCAGAACGGCCTATGTGTTTCTTGAGACCAAGACTCATTGTTTTGAATCGCCACCTAGTAAGGGAAAACATCATCCTTGCATGCGGTCTATCCAGCCTTTCAAAATTTTATATCTTTCATTTACATCCTTTCTCATTCTAGTTGGCCTAGTCTTTCCTAATTCAACAATCTTGCCACCCCACAAACTAGTTTGATGATCCATTGCTCCATTTCCTCCACGGTAGGTTTATCCTACCTCCAGTAAGGAGGCCTAAACTGCAAACAATATCCGAGATATGATCTCACCAAGGTCCTGTACAGCTGAAGGAAGACATATGTGTTCCCCTCCCTCAAATCATCTTCCTAACTACTTCCTGAACCTAAATGCTTGCTTTCAGTGATTAGCACACAAAGGACACCCAAATCCTTTTGTATATCAACATTTCTCAATCTATCTATCATAGAAAACATATTTTCTATGTTTCTACAACCAATCAGTCATTGTACCATTTTGTTTCCTCCCAATTTGGATAAGTTCACACTTAGCCATGTTAAATTGCATCTGCCATGTTTTTGCCCATTTGCTTAATTTGTCTGTTACGTTGAAGCCTCTTTACATCCTCCTCATTACTCACAACCCTACCTAGTTTTGTGCGATCAGCAAACTTCGAATCGTAGAACAGAATCATAGAATCACTTCAATGTGGAAGCAGGCCATTTGGATCATTGAGTCCACACTGACCCTCTGAAGAGCATCCCACTCTGACCCATCCCCCTCCCTCTACCCGTAACCCTGCATTTCCCATGGCTGACCCACATAGCCTGCACATCTCTGGACATTATGGATGATTCAGCATGGCCAATCCACTTAACCTGCACATCTTTAGACTGTGGGAGGAAACAGAAGCGTACAGAAAAAATCCACACAGACACAGGGAGAACGTGCAAACTCCACAGAGTTGTTCAAGGGTGGTATGGGAGCATATCTGTTAACTAAGGGCAAATGGGTTAAAATTGTAATCTCATTAGGCCAAACAACAGTGGCCATTATTCTAGTTTACCTGAACACTTGTTAACTAAGGGCTAATGGGTTGAAATTGTAATCTCATTAACCGCATCTTGTTTGTTCAGTTCTCTGTAAACCTTGTTACTATTTTGTTACTATGTGTCACACACCCATTGCGTCCAACTGCCAAACGGAACGATTTGCATCTATCCAGATATGTATAAATACTATGTGTGTATTATGACCTTTGCTCTTCTCAGACCGACAGTTAGGGTATCAATACCTTGCTGTCAGCAGGAAAACCAGCCTTTGTACAAGTAAAAGATATTGTTTGATTTACAAGAACGTGGTCCTCAAAGAACCCAGTCGTATAATATTCGACATAAACTTGGCGACGAAAATGGGATACCAATAGACTGACAACAGCTGGGAACAAATGAAGCGGTTGACGAAGTTGCAAATGAACTAAAGTGACCACCAAGGTAAGTTTATAACAAGGTATAGAGCTGGATGAACACAGCAGGCCAAGCAACATCAGAGGAGCAGAAAGGCTGACGTTTCGGGCCTAGACCCTTTTTCAGAAATGGCAAGATAGTAGGAACTGCAGATTCTCCAGCATCTGCAGTTCCTACTATCTCTGAAACAATTTTAACCCCACTGCGAAGCCTCTTCTAAGGATGCCTACCCTGAAGAAGTTACCCTCCTCCCACCTCAGTGGATCTCTCTCCCACTGCAACTCTCTCATAATCTCTTCGGCCCTGAAACTGCTCGACCACTTCCTGAAGCAAACCAGGTACTACAGCCACATCACCTTTCTTAGTACCTGCCTACGGAACCAGATCATCCCCAATGGACTACAGTCCACGTTCAGGCCTTCCCAATTTGGCCCCAACCGTGACAATGTCTACATTCAGAACATTGAGATCCTTCAAAAACATTTCTCCCTGCGACTCCTGAAACACACACTCGCAGCAATGCGCCGGCATCTCCTGGCACTACAATCAAGCCTACTCCAGCTCAGAGCCTCCCTCTCCCAGACCTGCAAAGAACCTCTTCTGTTTTTTATTCTTCGTAGGATCCACAACCTGAACTCACAATTCTACTCAGTTTTATTGGACACTAAAAACCATAAGTACAGTAAACTTACTGGTGTCTACCACCCAAAACGGGCTTCCTCCCCCTCCCAAATCCCCAACCCTACCCAGGACCTTCCCCACAATGTGCCCGCCGCCATTGGCCATGTGGTCACTGTCGGAGCACCCACGGATGAAAGCCATTTCTGAAGAAGGGTCTAGGCCCGAAACTCAGCCTTCCTGCTCC